AAAAAAAAAAAAACGTCTGTTTGTGTAAAGTACTTTCCTTTGGAACAATCTCTCTGTTTATATGCTCCCCAGCTTTCCTTCAGTGTAGAGATGAGCTCAAGCCACATAGTTTGGATGCAGATCTGAAATCTGCCTAAGTTTGTGGAGCACAGAGTATTTTGGGGGATTTTGTTTCAAGTCATAGCTATTTAAATATCACATCTTTGGCTCATTTCCCAAGAAATTTGCATTACTCACTTGTTTCTGTTCTATACATAATACCATTTTTCTGTAGCATATTTTATCTTTCAACATGCTTTGAACTAATCATTTGTAATGCTCTCTAATTCTCTCCCAGCATTACTGGAGTTGATCAGTTAAAGCAGTACCTATCTCATCACCTTATTGTTGGCAAGAACATAGATACTTTTTGCATGATTAAGCTGAGTTCCCTTACATAACTTCTTGCTTTGTCTGGCTCCAGGGCAACCCTTGAGAAAGAAGTGAACCACTTTGGAGTAGTCCCTTTTTGTTGACATGGTTAGCGCATTACATTTCTTTAAGCAATTCGTGCTTTCCACGTTTTGCAAAAGTTTGCAGCCTTTTTTCCCCCTACCTCAGCTGCTCTTTGGAATTTCTTAAAACAATAGGAAACATCTTGCATGCTTCTGGACTGCTGTTGTTTGGTTAGGCACTTATCAAAACAGCTGCTTTCTAAATTAATTTGGATTCAGAGTTTGTGATGTTTGCATGAGGATAGCAGGCTAATTTCTGGTAAATCAGTAGCTCTATATGCCAGAGAATGTTATACTAAATGGGATGTGCAATATAAATCTGAGCCTGTTTTCAAATACTTCCTACAACTTTGCATCAATATTTTTGAACCCTGGTATTACTTTAACCTTTTGTCTTCCTACTTTTCAGACTCCTAATTGTTCAGTGGTTTTTCCTTTTGAAGCCTCTTTCCCTGCCTCTTATTTTTTGTTTTTTCTTTGTTTTCATTTGGTCTTGCCCCACGATTCCTTGCTGCTGCAGAGCTGCTGTCTACTGGTGTGCAACGGTTGTCAGACCTGCGCACTAGCAGTCTCAGCTCCACCCACAATGACTCCCGCCCTAACTCCCCATTCCGACACCACTTCATTCCCCATGTCAAAGGTAAGGAGCCAGGCCTTTCCAGCTAGCGCCCTACAGAATGGAGATTTATTAGCATTCGGACAAAGCTAATAAGCTGTATCTCCATAAGGTGGCCATTGGCTGCGTAGCTCTCAGCATGCCTCAGAATGTGTCATTACACCTACAACTGTGTTAGACTGACATAGCATCTTCTCTCTGAGGAAATATGTCATTTCTAAGGGCCCTAGTTAAAGAGTCAGAATGTATATTGCCTATAATAAATATACAGGAAAGCATTATCATCAACCACTTAGAAAAGAGATGCACTGAATTTTGCTTATTTCCATAGCAGTCCATAATCCATATAGGACCCCTCATGTCCAATTTAATTCTTATTAATTCTGGATCCTTAAAATATAAATATTTAAGTTAAAAACCTCCCGCTAATATTGCCTGGATGAGGTCAAGCCAGTTGAGAGTACTGAATAAAAAGCTTTTACATCATGTAAAGATCAATGGCAACAAGGAAATTCATCACTGTTAATTATGACGGCACTGATTACTGTCTGACCAAATGTTATTAAAATCTAATTTTTTTTTTAAATCTAAAATTGTTCAAACTCTCTTCTGGGTTTTTTGGTTTTTTTGGGTGGGGGAGGGGGAGATTTGTCTTTGCTTTCTGCCCCTTCAATGAGCTCATTCCAGATAGTAACCTCTATTTCTGCTTCTTGCCTTCTGTGAAAGTTGTATTTTATTTTCATTTTTACTGGAGCAGAGGCCAGCTGGTGCTCTCATTTCCCCAACATGCTGGTGAAATGGAGAGTATCGGTTGGGTGAGGAGGTCACAATTTACATTCGCTGTGAGAGCTCAGGGAAGAGGCGGTAGCATGAGCTGAGCATATTTTATATTCCTGGTCTATTGATCAATGCAGACAGCATTGGTGTTACCAGTAAAAGAGTTTTAAACAGATTGTTGCCATGGTCTTTCAAGTAATGCTAATAGAGCTCAACCTTCCATTTCCCTCAAACACTCAGGTCAACGTTACCGATTTTGATCCTTGCATTTTTGTAGATTTTTTTATTAATATGCACCTCCAACCCATTCCTTCCAATTCTTTTAATTGTGTCACAGTAAGAAATCTCATTTCGTACTTAAAAGATGGGGACCCTTAAAAATAGATGCACTGCTCATTTCAGCATGCAGTTGATCCATAAACTTTGCAATTTCAACATTCTTTTGCTGTAAATCTAGATTAATGCTCACACTCCTTCCAATGGCACTTCTATTCCTTTTCCATTACTGTTAAGAGAATAGCTTTTTCAACAGATAACACAGGAAAACTCTCTTCATATTCCTTCCCAATTGTTTTCAGTCATCTGAAAAATAAGAGTCTTGGGGGTTAAATCTGTGGCTCAGCTGTCAATCCAAATTACCAAATAGGACTATAGGAAAAGGGCATGTTTCCTATAAGATAAATGTGTAGCAAAAAATAGAAGATTCCACCATTGTACCAGGAGATATTGTATACAAAACTTTGGCTTAAGTAAGATTCATTGGGCTAGATTCTTTGCCGGTATAAATCAGCATAGATCAGCAAGGGAGTTATACATCAGCCACAAATGTGGCACTTTGTTTCAATTTCAATTTAATTTTTTATCAAAGAGGGGGAAATACTTCACTGTAACTGATCCAAAAGAAAAATGTTTCCCTGTTTTCAGTTGGAGAACATGCCTTAACTCCACTGGGAGGTGAGGGCACTCAACACCTACTGAAAGCTCGGAGTTTCCCCAAGGATTGAACCCAACCTCAGTACTTAGATCCTGGGGAAAAGGGTACAAAATTATTTACAAAGCTCAAGGTACTGAATTCTACTTTGCAATAGGCCTGATTTTCCTGTCCCACCAGTGTAAATCCACTGAAGTCAATGGAGTTACAATGCTGCAAAGCCAGTATAAGTGAAGAGAAAAGTAGGCCTGATATACTGTACTGCACATGATTAACCTACAATAATCTGTGCATGCAGGTTATTTTACCTAAGAGGCTAACAAAGACATAATGCTTTACCTTTGCAAGCTGTATTCCAATTGGTCGGGCATGTAATTGGGCACATAAAGTGCTAAAATAATGAAGTCCAAGCATCAGACAAGCAAGGATTCATAATAGGGGTTAAATGAACGATGCAAATTATCCCTTTTGATCACTAACTCGCAGCACTCATTAGCTGAGGCTGTAAAAGGCTCATGATGATGGACATTTCATCATTAAATAGAATCTGGGGGCACATGTGCAATCTCTCTATATGCTATGTACTGTACGATTGTATGTGTGTACATAGTGTTATATGGAGAGATTATATAGTTTGCATGGTATGTTTTTTTTCCTTTACATTTCTTTGACATTCAAAATGTGTTGGGTT